AGATCTATTACAATGAAAAAAAGTGGTATTGTCAGAATGAGATCAATATTGCCTGACTGCACCTTGCAAGATGAAAATTTAGTTTTATTAATTTCAGAACTTCTTTTTTTCTAATTAGAAACCAAAACATTTTTGATGAATTCCAATTATATATTACTAATAATTATAATGTATATGATGTATGTAAAGCCTAAATTGATTCGTTATCCAATGTAGATTTAACAGTCGAGCTAATTTGATGACAGGAATAAACTTTTTAAAAATTACTAGTAGTAAATAAGGTACCGTAAAGGCGTAGTACATGTATACAATGTATATATGTTGTCTTATTTCATCATATTGATTGTACCTGCTTTTTTGGCTGATATTAAGTGGTTATTTCAGCTTTTTTTATTCAGACAGAGTAGCATAGAGATGCAATTAATTTCATTTTTCATCATATTCATTCATTCATTCATAAAAAGAATAAAGATACCTAACCTAATGATAAAAAAAGAAGAATAAATCAGATTGGTGATCAATATCAAAAGACACGATGGCGGATCTAAGGGAATACTGTAGGTTGTAATATTTTCTTCGTTATTTGTCCTATCTTTTTTTATGATTATGGCTAAATGATTTTTAAACATTTAGCTTATAAGTCATGTATTATCATAGTCTAAATTAAGGAGTGGTGGATCCAAGAGGAGTTGATATTGAATTTTTGAAGACTTGTATTGCATCAAAGGATACCGATGATTTTTGCAAATTTATTTCAACGTTTAGCTAATATTTCTGTGAGTGATCATGATCTTAACTAAGAAGTGGTGGATCCAAGGCAAGTGCATATTAATTGTTTTGATAGCCATGAGAGTTGTGGTGGATGTAAGGGGAGTGGATAGATATTTGTAATGGGTCAAAGGATAATAATGATTATGGTCATATAGCTTATATGTCATGTGTGATCAAGATCCAAACTTATAAGTGGTGGATCCGAGCTTAAGGGGAGTGGATATTTGTCTTTTTTAATTATTTGTGATTGATCAAAGGATATTCATGATTTATGATCATGTCTAATTTATTTCGAACATTTAGCTCGTGATCTTAATTTCAAAGTGGTTGATCCAAGGCAAGTGGATATTAATTTTATATATTTGTGATGGGTAAAAGGACATTACTGATTCCGGCTAATTGATTTCAAACATTTCACTTATATGTCATGTGTGATCAAGATCAAAACTCATAAGTGGTGGATCCAAGGGGGTTGGATATTTATCTTTTTTAAATATTTGTGAATGATCAAAGGATATTAATGATTTATGATTATGGCTAATTTATTTCAAACATTTAGCTTATATGTCATGTGTGAACATGATCTGAATTTAAACGTGTTGGATCTAAGGGGAGCGGATATAATTTTTAAATATTTGTGGTGGGTAAAAGGATAATAATGATTATGGCTAATTTATTTCAAACTTTAATCTTATATGTCATGTATGATCAAGATCTTAACTTATTAGTGGTGGATCCATGGGAAGTGGATATTCATTTTTTTAAAGAAATATTTGTGGTTTATCAAGGATATTAATGATTATGGCTGATTGGTTTTAAACAATAAGCTTATATGTCATGTGTGGTCATGATCTAAACTCATAAGTGGTGGATCCAAGAGGCATAAATATTTTATTTTTTTAAATATTTGGGTGAATCAAAAGATTTTAATAGTTGTACTTTGTGATATATAACAGAATGAGTTCCATTAATTCAATATTTAGATATATTGCACATGAATTATATAAATCCAATCTTATTTAGTGGTGAATGCAAGGGGAATGGAAATTTTAAAAAAATCCACAAACTAATATATCATATAAACCTAACATATATAAATATATATTAGTTAAGGAAAGGTAACCTCTTTGGACACTGTGAATTGGTTTCTATTGTGTATATTGTGTTGGTATTAAATTTTCTTGTTTCATTTTTTTAAATATTCTGATTAATTGTCATGGATCAAATAATCTGTAAAGAGTTTTATGATGAATGTTTCATTATGGGAGGCAACTGCCCTAGAAACCTGTTTTCATATAAATCTTCTTTTACATAACCAAAAATTTGAAGAATGAATACTTGAAAATTTGAAAAAAAATGATAGATATTTGTTATAACTATCTACTTTTATAGAATGAGAAACAGAGAAGATACTAATGATCCATAAGTCTAAGAAGAAAAACCAAGTTTTAGGAATTATCTCACAGTAAATATATCAATACATGGGATTTAAAACCCCATAATAAAGAAACGTGGGAAAAAAACTCATATGACAATATAAGCAACATATGGGTTTAAAAAACCTACATTGATTTTTGTGGGGTTTTTCCCCTGGGGGGATAAACCCCATGGGGTTTTTGTGGGGTATTTTTAAGTTCATGTTTCCCCATGGGATTTTTTTTGTTTGAACTCAAATATCTCAAAAACTATCAGAAAATGTTGAATTTTTTTTTTCATAAATCAATTTGATTATAAAAACCCCACCATTTAAAAAACCCTAAGATGAAAGCTTTAAAGGAAAAGGGTGCGCAAGTTCGGAAAAATGTCCATTCCGAAGTTGTCCGTCCCACTGTTCTTTATCTTTATTGCACAGACTCAGTTAACAAATAATGAGGAACGTCTGATCTTTTTAATATTGAAAATTCATAGAAAATAAATAAAGAAACATTTAATTGATCATAAAAAACATTAATAACCAAGACAACATGTACAACACATTTAAAACGTGAAAAAAAAAACACAAAATCTATTAGTTGTTGTGATCAACATGATCAAAGAGTTGTCTTTTTTGACTAGTATACTCGCATTGTATACGATTTTTCGACAATGTGTTATGTGCCAGTGAACGTTGTATGAAAAATTATAATCAATTCTAATTTTCCACTGCACAATTAGCAATGCACAATTTTATTGCCCCTATCCAAATATTAAATCATTTGAAGATTTATAGACCGGTAAAGGCATTCTAGCATGTTTTAGTTGAATGTTTGAAGTGCTTTGGATCAATGCAGACCCATTGACCACAAGCACCAAACTTCAAATGTCCATTTCAAAACTTCATAAATTTTGTTTATTTGAAATATTCAACTTTATACAGCATGTAAAATGTGAATAAACCAATGAGATGAATAAACCAATGAGATGTATGTCTCTTCGTTAGAATAAAAATCTGTTTTCAATTATACCTACAGTGTAACACACTCCTTTTTTCGTGTGACTGTTTATTGCTTGTTTTCGAAAACAACTTGTTCTATGTTGCGATCACTTTGAAAACATGATAATCTATGCCATTATTAAATTTCTTTTATATTTATAGAAACAAAAAAAAATAATTATTATATATAATTTCATAAATAGCTTTTCAGAGAAGTAGACCCCCCTCCCAGCAACTAAAAGTTTAAAAATTTCATTCACAATCTCGAGTTAGTTAAAAAAAAAATGAGCAAGTCCATGCAATAGTACGGCTTTCATAAACTGTACAATTGTTTTTCATTTCTGTGTGTATAAAATAGAATATAAAGTCAATGTGGCAACGCACTTTTAAAAAAAAAATACACACTTTAAAAAAAATTCAAAGTGCGTTAAAATCAAAACAAAATCAACCAACTTTGAAAAAAAAATCAGAGTGCATTAAATATGGGACCAACTCAACACACTTTGAATTTTTTTTTCAATGTGCGTAAAGGTTTACATCAATATATTTTACCATGGAGACACTAAACGCACTTGGAAAAAAAAAATTATAAAAACCGAAATTCTGGATTAAGATTTTATTATTGGAATTTTTTTTTTCAGTGTTATTTATCTTTCAAAAAACTTATGAATTGATTTACTCCGGTCGAGAAAGGGGAATACGGTAGAAGATCTCTCAACGCATTTTCTTTGAATACACAGGCGTCGGTAACAAATAAAACGTGGGAAGGAGAATAATATAAACCCGATAAATTGCATTTTCAATGCCTATGTGATGTATATCTTTCAAAACAAGTGGGGGAGGGGGCTGAGATGGCCTCCCTTGCCCTTCGTTCGTTGTCGATGCCTATGCTATACCCAAAACATGGACATTACTGGTATGACGTTGAAAACTTTCAATATATGAGTTAACTTAAAACAGATGAAAACTAGAAATTATTAAGTACAGTAAAACGTATGAGACAGAGAGAATTTTCATAGTCACTTTTAGCCCCCCCCCCCCTACATTTACCTATTACAGACTAGAATTTCAAAAAGAAACGAAATAATTTTTTTTTCTAAAATATCCATTTCTTTTATAAAATAAATCAAAACCTGAAATATTTAAAACGTCAATATCTCAGGTCCTGAAGTGACCTTATCATAAAAATGTTGTCAATCCAGGGTCAACTATTTATCATACTGACTATTTGTAAGAATATTGATCAAGCTTTACATTTTTTCAAAGTGCGTTAATATGGTCGATATTAATGCATTTTGAAAAAAAAATAATTTTTTTTCAAAATGCGTTAGCTTCGTCCTAAAATTAACGCTCTTTGAAAAAAAAATTCAAAGTGCGTAATTTTTCGAAGTGCGTTGTAACAAGGCAATCCTAGAAAGATGATGTTTTATCAAAAATTGTCTTTTTTGTCTAAAAATTAAAAAAAAACTTAGTAGAATTGTCTAAGAAAAAATATGCTCTTATAAATCTTTTAATACATTGGCCTAGCCTGTTATTGGTAATGCATGTAACCCATTTAACTTTTTGATTTCGTTCAATTTAGGCAAATATCATGAATATTTAGGAGTGGACAGATGTCTTCTTTACAGTTTACTGTTGTGTGACAAGTACACTGCTAATGTAAAAGGAGAGGCGTTCAACTCAATAGTGATAAAGATACGAGAAAGGTATTTTAAAAAGATTTCTCTGTCTGATAATGTTGATGTGACATCCCTTCAGCGTGATGTCAAGAAAACACATAATGGTGAGGCAACGTTTATATCAGACGACATCCGACATGACGTCATGTACGCCTTTGTTACGGAGTGTCTGGTGGAGGACAGTGATCTGGAGTTTCCTGACCACGGCGTCACGTGACGTGATATCACAATACTGCAGGTCCTGGGGTTACAAAAGGAGTGAGGGAGAGAAATGTCTGTATGTACCGAACGAACCGGAGAAGATGTACTACCTCTTCATAGAGAAACTACAGCTGGACATCATCTCACACTGTACCGTGTCTGACCGGGAGATTCATATCAGGATCAGTCAACGTTGTGAGTATTATCTGTATTATACCTCTAATAATTATACATTAAAATGTAATAAAAGATGAATTCTAAAAGAATCTTTGATAATCTGGATTTCTTGAGGTTGAAAAGAATTTTTAAAAGTTAATTATCAATATATCAGAATTCGAGATATAAAGATTCAGTTACTTTGAATATGATAAGGCAGCATAATATTCCTCCTTTTCCCACAAAATATTGAATTGAATTTTTAATCTTAGTATATATTTCAAAGGGATAAACAACAGAGAGAAGAGCCCTAACTCTTAAACCACTGGAAATGTTACTATTTAAGAGTATGTTCTTTTTTATTCCTGAGATTAATTAGAGGGTTTAAAGTTAACTTACGAGCTTCAAATCGAAGAAAATTGCATTCGTTTCCTGTTGATGAAACGCGTGTTGACGATCGACAAACGCATCAGAATTAAGGGGAATTATTACCGTAGGAGACAAAACAATGATAACGAAATAAATTAATGTTTTAGAGATAATGAACCATATAGGTTTAAGTGTTTTGAGCAGGTCTATTCCCGAGTAACTATCCTGCTTTGACTAAACTTGCGTGTATGATGCATCTAGGGATATATATGATCACAATTCCTTCGGATGCTGAATCTGACCTACATTTTCCAGATAAGTGAACAGGTTAAAGTTTTTGGAGCAGGTCAACTTCCAATTAATTAAAAGCCCTACCTGGACCGGACGTACCTATCCACAAGTATTAGTGCCTTCAAAAAGCACATAATTCTTACAATCCACGCGCATGCATGCTTGTTGGTCTTATAGAATTCACTAGCACAGATTTTTTACAAATTTGTATTCCAAATGCAAAAAATCATCGCTTACCAACATGTGCCCAGCCGTTTAGAGTAGCTCGGTCGGTAGAAGCGCAAACTCGCTCCGTAATCATGAGGTCGTGAGCTGAAAGTTACAAAAGGTTCACTGCTCTTCAGTGACAGAATGGCCGTCGAAAAGTCACTAAAAGCCGTTTTTCATTTTCACTGAAAGTTTTTTTTCTTCTAGTGAAGTATCTCGCGATGAACTTAAATTAATATTCATTTAAAAAATATATAGCCATGTCAATGCCTTAAACTCTACATCCCGTATGTCCCTTATGTGTAATATTCATTTAAAGATTTTCTTTATTCTTCGTGAGAAATAGTCAATCTCGCCGCCGTGGACAAAGAAAAACAAACGTTTAATGAAAGTTCACAAATTTAGCTTCAAGATGATGTGGTCGAAAATGGGTGTAATTTTTAATTATCTTGCCACAGATATTTCATATGTGAAAATGAAAGCACTATATCTTCTCTATCAAAAGTTATGAAGAGAGTTAAAAGATTTCAAAAAGTATTTCAAACGTCAAAGTCATGCTCCCGGTCATCGACGGAAACCCACAGGTGATCTTGTCTTTAAAGACGAGATCACCCGTGGGTTTCCGACGATGGGTCCCGGTGTTAAAAACCATTATGAAAATAGAAAGGTTTTTTTACAGGTAATAACTGTGTATAATATGATAGCCCTATTTTTTTTTCTTTTTCAAAGTTATCAAAAAAAAAGGAATGCTTAAATTTTGAAAAATAGATTGAACCGAAGGTAACATGATCATAAAGAAATTTGAATTTCATTTAAACACCCAATTTTATGTTAACGCCCCCAAATTCTACCTGATTCAAGATCAATAATTTACCGCCTGTCAATCATAAAAAAACAATAGCTTCGGATTTGATTGACAGGTCAGCTACCTGTGCTTCTTGATGATCTGAGTTTGCCATGTTTTGAAAACAATTGCCTGGTAACGCGTCAAACTCTTTCATGTTCGCATAGTATACACACGGGTTAGAAAACTCCAATATGTTTAAATATTATTTAAAAAATAATTTAAGGTAGATTATTAAAACATTGACATTATAAAATATTTCTTTTCTATCTCCACTGCTGTTTGTTACTTGTAAGTGTTATATCGTCCACGTTGTCTGTAGAAAAAAAAGACCGCGTCCACAGAAACCGGCTTTATTTGCCTTCATTGGAAGTCCGGGCGACGATTTAAAATATTTTAAGAAATGGGATACAAGAAAAATATTCAGAACTAATAAACGGCATAGCAAATATTTTAAAAAGATGTTTTATTTTGTACTATGGCTACAATCCACACAATTTTGTACAGAAATTGATGTCAGAATTAATGCTCGAATTTCCTCGCGTTTGAAGATAATTAATAGTGATCGATTTTCTAAAAGAAATCTTTCTAACAATAAAATTTTGTTAACACACAAAGAATCAAAAATATGGAATATTTTGGACAACAGTGTTGGCCAGGGGGAAAAAACATTCCGATCGCGGTAAATGCATGTTCACGTGCACGACGGATAGGTGAATTAATATTTTTTTTTATTTCAATATTCAGACCTTTTTAACCAAGTGATTTCTTTTATCGAAGACTGAAGATAAATATTATTGATTTGTAGTTTTTACTCGTGATTTATCTTAATGTAAGGAAAACATTTTCTAAAACGATAAACATGTATCTTATTTTTTTTTCCTTCAAAACATTACCATGATTACGATGAATGCGTTAAGTTTACAAATAAATTTCATACCGAAATAATTATTTTACGTAGTTTCACTCAAAACCAGACACAAAACACGTTATGATGACCCCGATTACCAAACACAGACTTCCTGGTGCAGTGCTCAACGTATACACAGATTTTTGACATCTTGGGTATTTGGGGTCTCCAGGTAAATAACACCACTGTTACTTCGACCACTCCCCCCTCCTCAGGTAACCGTACGGTAAAAAAATTGGGTCTTTAATTCTCTTTTAATACAAAAGTTATGACAACGGTCAACGCTTTTAAATAGTAGGTCACACTTCAAGATCAATGGATTCAAATTAAATCATGGTGTATTTAGAAATACATTGTAACAGGTAATAATCATATTTAGTAGGAAAACCCTGTTCCTCCAGAGCTGGATTTTTGTTCATTATCTTCATATCTGATTACTCAACCTCTGGACATTAACATCCTTATCATTGATGTTGAGAAATATAAAATATATGGTTACTGTTTTTGAAATATAAGCAATATTTGGGCGAGGGTAAGAAAACGTGATAGACGGCGAGGTTTTTCGAGCCCTTTTACATTTTCAACCCGATACCAAATATCGCTTATATTTCAAGACAGTTATCATCTATTTTGTTCATCCTGCAACAACATTTTACATTTAAACCACCAAAAACAAGCTATTTTCGACAGCTATAGGTACATCCCTGCATTTGATACTATGACGCTATGGGTTTACTTTGCAGTATACGTGACGTTCCAATGCTTTTAGAACGTCGGAATACATGCACGTGGCTTTATTAGGGCAGTGACCGGATGAAGCTTTTGTTTATTAGGATACCTTTATTAGGTCAATGCAAAGGGTACATGTACATGTAGTTGCAGGATAAAAAAATACTTTCAAATCTACATTAGATAAGAGTGGTGTTTTTGAAAAAAAGAGAAACTCCGTAAACAGATAAAAAGAGAATGATTGAGGAGGATGGGATACAAATTTAAGTAAAATGATATTGCAATTTAGTTGAATACATGTTGGTGCAAAAAAAAATCAATATCAACATCATAAAAATTTAGTTATTAAGAATGTCAAAAGAAGTCACTTCTAACAGGTCTGTTAATAGTCCGAAAAATCTTACCTTTTCCTGGCTTTTTAACGATTTTGATATTTTAAATGCCAGGAAAACGTTAGAACCGGCGCCATTACGAAAACTGGAAATTTCGCCGTCTTCAACTGGAGTTGATTTTCAATACTTGTGAACCGAACTAAATGCCAAAATCAGAATTTATTTAAAGCACAATGCTTCTAGTACTCACCTATATCGGTGAAAAGAAAATATCACTCCAAATTTCGTAACAGGAAATGAAAGATTTTAAAATGCAGGTAACGAAGACAAATCTCGACAGTGTGATAAAACCTTTTTCAACGGATTAATTTTTTCATAAATGATCCATAAAAAATATACTGGTAAGTTCTTTAAGTATTGTACTATTGATAACTTTTGACTTTGAAATTTAATTCAGATCGCAAGTATTTAAAATAAACTCGAGAATGCCGCCTCCATGCAGTTGGAGGCGGCGACTTCCAAGTGTACCTAATGGCGCCGGTGTAAAGACGAATAATGACCCCCATCGAATAATGACCGGGGGTCATATCTCGACAGCGAAAAATGACCCCCGGTCATTATTCGGCGTAGAAAAATGACCCTTTTGCCCGTAGAAAAAGTGTCACTTCTCTAAAAATTTGCAGAACCCACGTGAAATAAAATGACCCCCGTAGAAAAATGACCCCCTGTATATTAAAGCTAAAATTTTTAGGGGGGCAAAAAAATTAGATAAAGAAGCATATTGGCCAAAATGCTCACTTGAGCTCAATGGGAATAAGCTGATGATATGTTGATCTCATAACATTATACAATTATAGCCATATTGTAAGGTAAATGCAATGATTCAGAACCTAAAGGAGTAAAAGATTTATCAAGCCTTAAGGGTTAGGTAAACATTGTTTTTTGATGGTGGAAATCATCGAACTGACAGAAAAAATCAGCAGTATTATATAATATTATATCCTCCGCTTGAAAAGCGGGAGGGTATATAGTGATCGGGATATCCGTCCGTCCGTCTGTTAAGCTTTGAGGTATCCATTTCTTATCCGCAAATCCTCATATATAAAAAGATGTGTTTGTGAAACAGCTATGCCCCTGTATGGCAACATAGTGAAGATTAAACTTTTCTTAAATGCAATTTAAATATATTGTTACCCAAAGTAGTGTCTTCTCACAAGAAATACAACTGCAAAATAGGTAAGCCCTAGCACCACTTGTTCAGAAGTAATGGCCAAGGATAAATTTTTGAAAGGTAGCTCAAACTGAAAGGTCAAAGTTGATGATTTCTTAAGAAAATGTTTAATGTAACAAGGATTACATATGTGAAGTATGAATACCCTAGCCCTTATGTTATGGCCAAGGTAAAAAAAAATCATAAGTACGGAAAACTCCAAGGTCAAGGTCAAAAGGTCAAGGTTTTTAGTATCCAATGAGAGGTAATGCCAAAAAACTACATATTTGAAGCATGAGAGTACTAGTATCTACCGTTTAAAAGTTATGGCCAAAGTAAAAATTTTGCATTTTTGTGTAAAATGGGACAAACTCCAAGGTAAAGGTCAAAAGGTCAAATTTAGTGGTACCCAAAGTAAGGTCTTGTCACAAGGAATATACATATTAAATATGAAAGTCATGGCTCCAAGAAATGAAAAGTTATGGTAAAGGTTAAGGTTTTTGCGGACAAACAAACCGCCAGATGAGACAGACAGACATACAGAAGAACAGGATAAAACTATATACCCCCGAATATTCGATTACGGGGACATAAAAAGAAATGGTCTTCAATTATCTTTTCATATTAATATACATTATAAAGAAGACGTTACAACAATGAAAATGTTTGTTTTGATTTTCATATTAAATTCTCTGAAAAATATACTCAAAACTGAGTAAAAGGGTGGAGTAAAACAAGAATAAAGGTAGAACCTATGTCGGAAAAGTCTTTGTCACAAGACTTTCAAACTTTTCAAAATGATAAATTAGTACTTGCTTATCAATCAGTTAAGATATCATGATATATTTCCTTGTTTTTTAATCTAGAACAGGCTGTGAAACTTGGTATGGTATTTACATACTGCGACTTCACATTTTCAAATTTTTTAGGAGTACTTGTCATAAAGGGAATATGAAAAATCACAAAAATACTTCTTCAAACATCGTCGTTTATAAACTTTTTTAACTGAATAATATTAAACAATATTTTATCAGGAATAATTTCTTTTCATTCAATTAACATAAAAGATAAGTCCACCATTAAAAAAAATAGTCAAATGAACTCTATAATTTTTAGTCAATTATGCACTTTATATTTGTAAATATTTTTTAGAAGTCTTTGTCACAATGTTTTCAATCTTCAATATGATGAAGAACATAGCCAAATATTTACATTCACTGTGATTTTCTAGTAAGCCAACTGTGAAATTGATTTGAAAACCATTTTTGGGTATACTCACGCGTAGAAATCTACACGGAGAAATGTGCGTTAACGTGACGTCACAATGAATCTTTAGCGACGTTAGTAAAGATGCAAAGATATAGGGCAGCGAGAAATTCAAATATTTAGCATATTTTAGTTGCTTCAAAGCATGTAAAATGTAAATATAAGGAATTTTTTTTTCAGTTTAATGTGAACTATTGGTGTGTGAATCACACAGACTTGCACGTAGGCATATTTTTCATGATAGCGCGCTTCATGAAATATGCCTACGTGACAAGTCTGTGTGATTCACACACCAATAATTCACACTAAACTGAAAAACATTCCTTTAATGATTACAGAAAATGAGTAAAATATATACCTTTCCCCTCTAACTAATGAACGATAGGCTATTTACCGATACTCATATTCTTGACCTTTTTGCACTTACACGGGATTTAATAATTAAATGACTGTTTGGGGTTACTTTCAGATTAAATATTTATCAGAAATTGTACTTTTACTTTAAAAAGATCATATGTAATTAAAAAATTGTAATCAAACACTAAGAATATGAATAGGTAACAAATAATTGTTAAAAGGAATGATCATCATTTCATTATAGATATCACAAAAAAATGTACACACGATCAAACGATCTACAACACGTACATCTTTGACTTGAACACATTTCATCAATACATTCACTTCAATCGCTGGCAACTAAAGATTTCTTACGATTTATGCATTCCTTGAAAATGGTTACATACCATTCAAATTATTACGAAAGTTGTATGTACATTGTAATTTCATTACACTAGATAGTCTTGGGTTTGTCAACTTCAGGTCTAGATCTAGTAAATAAAAGGTGCCTACATATTTTCTCTTATTCCAGAAATATTATTGCCATTAAGCATTATAAACCAAAAAATATATGAATTGAATTAAGATTATGTTGGCATGATTGAATTATTTGAATTTCAAAATGCAGTATTTTCTACCATTTTCATTGAAGCTGCTGTCAAGTACGGTAAAAAGTGGCATTAAATTAATTATGACGTCTTAATGGGTTAGCACAGGTTTAACACATTTACCAGTTATGAAGTCGTACGAAGTAGGTTCTACGTTAAAAGAAATGTAATGAATACTGTGTGCTAAATCAAAAGTTTATGTCTACATGTATAGTTTTTGCATTAGAATCACTGTGTATTTTACACTAGCCCATAGCTTTACAGAGCATATTTTTAGGTCTTTTACATACCCACCCCCTTTCTTATTTAAAAGGAAGTCGATATTGAACAAAAGCAAAAAAAAAAACACCCTACCTTTATTTTTCTATAAGAAGGAATTAAAAATAAGCTAAAAATAATCTACTATTCTACTAATTTTTAACTGTTACTTTGCCACAATACTTTCAGGTATACCTCAACCAACATTTAAAGTATGCTTTAATCATGGCGCGAAGTAAATTATGATATGATAGTACTTGTGTGAAGGCTTAACTTCATTTCAATATTTTATCTAGAGCCTCTTTCAGAATTATTGAAAGGTATAAAGTTTTATTTATATTTTTGCTTTTCATTTATTATTATTATTTTTTGTTCCATTTAACGTAATGTTCTTTATTTGGGGGGGGGGATAAAGATTTTCTCCTCTTTAATTGTCAAGTAGGATTTGCCAAACTTAAACAAACTCAAAATTTAATGATGGAAAAATTTAATTTTTCCTATTGAAGAGTATTTAAACCTGATTTTTGCATGACTTGATTTCTAAAAACAAGTTGAGTATTATTCTTTAAGCAAACTCTATAAAGGAGGAATATTAAAAAGAAATTTTATTTACTTGACAATTAAAGAATCTCTTTTCAAACACCATTTTAGCTTTGAAAGACTACGTGAATCTCTAAATTATTTCATACGACTTTTTGTATTTTTCTGGTTACAGAAAATGTAAAAATTAGTTTCGCTGTAAAAAAGATATCAAAGAGTGTATATTTTGTATCACTTTAAAGGGGGTCATTTTTCAATGGGGTCATTATTTTATAGGACTAACATATAAAATAATGACCCCCTAGGACCCATTTTCTACAAAAAATGATTTTTTTCTACGGGTGGGGGTCATTTTTTGTCGTTGAAAAATGACCCCCGGTCATTATTCTATTGGGGTCATTATTCGTCTTTACACCGGTTCTGACGTTTTCCTGGCATGAAAAATATCCAAAATCGTAAAAAAGCCAGGAAAACGTCAGATTTTTCGGACTAGTCTGTTAAATTTCAATTTTTTTTTTACATGAAACTGAAGTAAAAGGAAATGCGTATCTTTCTTGTGAATTCTTTCTTTAACACGGTATAGTTAGAGTCCCAGAGGAAATACTAGTGTGGGACAAGGAAGCCAGAGAGCGATATATGGAGTACGCTAAGAGAGGAACACAGACAGTCCACCACGCCCGGGGGATGATTGTAGGATGTGCTGGGGCGGGGAAAACTACGCTCCTTAAACGTCTGCTAGGATGCAGTGAAGAAGATATTAGAGATATAAAATCTACAGAGGGATTGGAGGTTCATGAGGAAATATGTGATATATGTGATGAAACAAGATCATTAAAAGGTAACAAAATGATGCTACTTAGCCTGAGAGAGAAAAGAGAATTAGGGAAAGATGGCTTTTTTGCACACACTAAATATGACCTCTTTTTTACTTTCTCCCCCAATATTTTTTCATAAAAACTTTAACCTGTGACCCCCCCCCAAAAAAAAAATAAGTCAATAAACTTCTCTTTATTTATGCGACTTGTTCTTAACAATTTAAAATAAAACAAGCATGGCGAAACATGATTTTTTTAACAGCTAGGATGATAGATATGTTTTTGTCGACAGTAGAAATAAAATGATATACGTAACCATGCATATACATGTAAATTACTTCCTGTGTTGTAATTTTAGTACTTTGTTATTTGAAAGAAAATTATATATTTTTTTAAATACTATGAATTTAAGGATGTATTCTTCTGATACCCGGAAAAAAACGTGCATTAAACTTTCCACATGCTTATATTTTTTCTGAAAGTGTTATACCCAAGGAATAATTTAAGGACAAAAAAGTGTACGTTAGTGTTCATCTAAGAGAGATCCAACCCCTCCAACACAGGCCAAAACAGAGCATGGGAAATTTCATTAAAATAAAACTTATTAGACCATATAAATACCTCATAAACTTATAAATACAATCAATTTAAACGTAATATGGCTAAAATTTACTTGAACGTATTGCGAAGTTAATTTTTAAAGCAAAATATGAGCAAATAAACACAAATTAGATAATTTGTACCCAAAAATGTTGTTCACCGGTGTCAAAAAAAGGCAAATTTTTTCCTATAAAATTGCTTGAAAAACCAGAGAAAACATATTTCTACAATTTAACTTTTCAGAAAATTGTAGCACAATTTCTTTAGGTATTATGGTTCCTTTTCAAAGCATGAAAAGTAGGTGTAAGTGTACATGTAAGAAAATTTTATATTTTTTATATCCCCACCCCCTATTTCTTTTTCAGCATTTAATGAGAATGAATCAAGGCATTTAGGCGTCAGAGTATGTGTTTTATTCACCAAATATTAAAAATAAGTGTGATAATTTCATCTGAAGACCCCTTAGTTCTAACGTTATGTAACATGTTTATGCCTTGTTTCATTTTACGATGTGTAAACTATGTATTTTGAAACTTTTGTATCTATAATGCATAAACATTGCTACTTTCAATAAGTTTGAAAGCATTAGAAACCTACATTTTCGATTTTCCACTGGCACTGGAACGTCGCCAACACAGTTCGGCGCTCCTGGCTGGCATGTTTAGGGACCGCTTTCGAGAATGTACCTGTAGGCCTAATTGTGATACCGACAATTTTTTAAATGTTCTAAAATTTGTATCGGTTGGCTCTTCGACATTCCTGTCGCTTTGAAACGGGCGACCCCGTCTTCTTCCCCTCTCAATCATGTCGATTTCACTTGTTGACTTTCTTAGGCCTATGTCGTAAATATCATAATTTTGCACACGTCTTAGTCATTAATACAACATAGAAAGATTTTCTATTTAAAAATAAATATAGTTTAACATGTGAATCATAAAACTTTTAAAACTTGTTGATGAATTGTTATCAGTTTGCATTTTACGACATGTTTATGTACGAAGACCCACTTGGGGTGAAATGATCAGAAAAATACATCCTTAAAACAAACATGTCAAAAATACTATTTTATTGCTTTTTTCATTATATTTTGATGAAAAAAAATGATGGTGTGTGAGATATCTTATGACTCTTTTTAGCAAGGAAAAGCCAGGAGAATCGTGAAAAAGTAAATACTACAAATGTTGACTCTAAGACTCTGACATTCTTTGACTTTGGAGGACAGTGTGCGTACTACGCCTGTCACCAGATTTACCTGACCAGGAGAGCTTTCTATGTTGTGGTGTTGGACGCCTCTAAACGTCTTGACCAGAAGGTGGATAAGGCAGTGTGTGATCAAGATGGTAGCGTGTTCTCTGGTTGGACCTATGGAGGTAAAAAAGAAAGAAATCCATCATTATCATTCAATATATATATATTATCTTTTAAAGGTACCGTATAAAAAATACCTTTTCGAATAAACGTTTCTTTTGTTCTAATAGCTATGTGCACCGGGCAAAAAAACCTGTAGCGTTCTATTTACCATTGGCCATACACATATATCTGTCCGATCAGTTCATAAAGGATGACTGCACTTAACGCTGCGTTTTGGGCCTTTCTTCGGTCGCTTCTAT